TCATTTTATCACTGCCCATTTTTCGGAAGCAATTCTACAAAAAAATTGCACCATACGTTTTCGTTGTTATTACTAGTGTTAAAATATCTATCTTTACTTTCCCTATATATATCAATATACAGGGGGACCAACAAAAAGAACAGGCTGTCAAGACGATCTCATGGTTGTATAAGATCTTTTGCCTGAGAAGTAGTCTTTGAATGACTTGTTTTTTTTTATTGGGCAAATAAAGAAACAAATTTACAGTTGCAGAGAATCAGACATGTAAGGAAACAGACAGCAAACCGTTCCGTACAGTCGTCTTTAAATTCGCATCCGTTGTGGGTAACATTGTATCTAATATCTAACTATTTTAATATCTATCTATCTATATATTCTAGACAGCCTAAGGTCTATTCTTTATGCTTGGTTAATCATGCATGGTTAGACCTAGGTCCGACATAGGCAGCTACTAGCCTTACACCCTATCCTTTCCCAAACTCAACCTTTACTTTTCTCCATTCATTTCCCCGCAAGCCCATCGTTTTATTCCCTTTATCGCCCTTCATTCCTTTCCCTACACACTCCTACCTTCCAACTATATACCTCTCAACCTCCATTCCTTTCCTGACACACCCCTACCTTCCTACTATATACCTCTCAACCTCCATTCCTTTCCTGACACACCCCTACATTCCTACTATATACCTCTCAGCCTCCATTCCTTTCCCTACACAACCCTACCTTCCTACTATATACCCCTCACCCTTCATTCCTTTCCCTACACAACCCTACCTTCCTACTATAAACCCCTCACCCTTCATTCCTTTCCCTACACAACCCTACCTTCCTACTATATACCCCTCACCCTTCATTCCTTTCCCTACACAACCCTACCACCCTTCATTCCTTTCCCTACACAACCCTACATTCCAACTATATACCGATCACCCTTCATTCCTTTCCCTACACAACCCTACCTTCCTACTATATACCCCTCACCCTTCATTCCTTTCCCTACACAACCCTACCTTCCACCTATATACCCCTCAACCTCCATTTTCCTTTCCCTACACATCCCTAACTACCGACTATATACCCCTTACCCCCCATTCCCTTTCCTATACACCAATACCTTCCCGTTATGTACCCCTCACCCTACTTTCCTTTTGTACACACCTCTACCTTCCCCCCGTTTACCCCTCATGCCCTCTATTCCATACCTTACATATACCTAACCTTCCTCTAAATAACCCTCACTTTCCAATTCTATCCTTACAAAATCAAGAGTCTGGGGCGTGGGCCGCGGCTTGGTTACTTTTTAGCAAACGTGATTATATTTTTTTTTATTTAAATAATAAGTAGATAAAACTATCGCTGATATAATCTGTTAGCTGTTTAATCAAATTAAATTAATATTTGTGATAACCAAATTTAATCTTTCGCTTTATATATGAAAAATATTATACAATAGTCAATTTTAGATACTGCCGCCCAGTAAATAAAACTGAGTGACTGGTAATTTAGAATATTATAATATTTTGGTTTAATTATGTTGTTGGGAAACAATAGGAAGTATTCTTTAATACAACAGTCTGAACCTGGGGGCAAATCCTACATTTCAGCCAGGGTAAAGTGAAGGGTGGGAATATTCTTATAAATAAGGTAGCTTCGCAACCCAGCTTTGCCTGGAAACAAAGTTAACTGTATCTCCTAAATTTATAACTTTTAGACCGAGCTAATGACGTTCCCGTGGCTCTAGCAGGTTCCCAGATCAAACTTTGAGGTAAAACGCTCCGAACATACATACGTGAGAAGGATTGAATCAATTACTCTAAATGAATGAGGGATTAAGCACATCATGCCTATATTTAAAACCTGTCACATTTAATATCGAGATCAAGAAGAAAAAACTTGTGTAAGGAGTGGCCGTGTGGGGAGTAGGTTTGCAGAGAACGAAACGTTTCTCGAAAAAATGCTAGAATTTTCGTTCGTGTTTCGCTAACTTTTTCTCATTTTTTTGCGAAAATGAATAAAGCGAAAATTGCAAAAACGAAGCGAAATTTCGCGAAAAAAAATTTATCGAAAAATATTTACGCGAAAATTTCGCATTTCACAAAATATTTTCGCGAAAAGTGAAGCTATAATTTTTTTCTTTTATGAATTTTGCAGAAATTTTGCATTTTTTTAAAATAACGAATTTTTGAAGCGAAATTTCGCGAAAAAATGTGAAATTTTCATAAACGAGTGAAAAAAGAGTTAGGTTGGAATTAGTTTAAAACAAGAGACTGTACCTGGTTGGTTGATGTGGGAATTTATTTTATAATTAGGTGAAAATTTTATATAATAATTCGGAGGGGATTCACTTCTTATGTTCAGACTGGAGTCAAACTAGGGGGAGGGGTGTGCGATTGCTCAGAAAGGAGGGGAAGGGGGATGGGGGTCCAGGTTTTTTTAAAGAGGGAACCGTTTCTGTAGATTTAACGTTCTAAGTTAGTTTGAGTAAGTTTAGTTAACTGGGTTACTAGAGTTATATGAGTTGGTTTGAGTTAGCTTAAACTAAAAATTTATTTTAGCTGAGTTATTTTCAATTCTCTGAATTAGCTAAGTTGTCATGAGTTATCTGAGGAAGCTAAAATAGCTAAGCAATCGCTGAAAAATGTTGAAAAGCTGAATTTAGAGTAAATATACAGCCTACAGCGAGTACACTGAATTGAAGCATGAATTGTAGACATTTTGAATAATTGAGTTTAAGTTGTGAACTCTAACCCTGAAACAGAACAGTACTTGTAAATGTAGAATAAAATACAAGGAATATTAATGGAAAATATATAAATGTGAAAAAGAACATTAATAATGAAGGTATAGAGAACAGTACTTGTAAATGTAGGATAAAATACAAGGAATATTAATGGAAAATATATAAATGTGAAAAAGAACATTAATAATGTAGCTATAGAGAACAGTACCTGTAAATGTAGGATAAAATACAAGGAATATTAATGGAAANTTTACTTTAAACAGGGTTCCCTCGACCTGATTTTATAAAAAATTTGAATTTAAAAAAGTAGAAAAAGGTAAATAAAATAGAAGGGTCCTAAGATGGGATAAAATAAAAAAAGGAACTGAGATAAAGATATATGGGATAACATAAAATAAAACAGTTTATCTATTGAGGAGTAAAAGGACAGTTAGTAAAATAAAATTTTTGGAATATCACTTAAATCCTCAAGTTTTTTGTTGATTTTGAAATAAGTCACGAAACCTCGATTTCTAAGTTGATTCTCGGGATCACGAAACCTTTATGTTTATTTATAATACTAGGCTTTCTTTGTGCTTTTTAACCCCTTCCAGTAAACATTTTGATCGTTTAAATGTTGCTTTTCAAATCGCCATTTTCACATCTCTACATTGTAAAACTTAAAATTTCGTGGATTTTTTTTCAACGTGAATGATTTATGCAATAGTACGAAAATCAACGTTTATCAGGCTCAAGTTTTCTATTTTTATAAGCCTACCTTCCTTGTGAGTTGACACAAAAAAAATTGGGCCCAATCGGTTCAGTCGTTTTGACATTTATTGGATACAAACAAACAGGTAAGCCACATTTATGTGGATGTGATTATGTTAGAATTAATTTAAGTTATAGCTATTGTTTTTTCAAGCTTTTTAGTAAATTATAAATAGTAGAAAAAAATTTAAAGAAGAGAAAAATCTAAAACATTTTAAGATTTTGAAACTTGAGCCGTAGAGTGCTGAAAAGTAGGGATGAGTCTCTAAGTTGTAAAGTTGTCACCCCCCCCCCCACACCACTCATTCAGACGTTTTATGGTGGGTTAGACTAGATAATACGGACAAGACGGGGGGAAGGGGGGGGGGTAATCGTACGCCACCCACGAAACACATACTCAATCTTTTAGTGGCATTTTGAAAATTTGGTCTTTTTTATTTATAGTAAAAAATAACGAGGTCGTAGCAGTAAACCCATAAAAATACAATTTCACAAGTAATTTTCTTTAGTTTAACGTGATAATGAGGTGGATTTAATAACTTAGTTTAATGTGATAATAGTTTGGATTTAATAACTTAGTTTAACGTGATAATTATTTGGATTTAATAACTTAGTTTAACGTGATTTGGATTTAATAACTTAGTTTAACGTGATAATGATTTGGATTTAATAACTTAGTTTAACGTGATAATGAGTTGGATTTAATAACTTAGTTTAACGTGATAATGAGTTGGATTTAATAACTTAGTTTAACGTGATAATGATTGAAATTTAATAACTTAGTTTAACGTGATAATGAGTTGGATTTAATAACTTAGTTTGACGTGATAATGAGTTGGATTTAATAACTTAGTTTAACGTGATAATGAGTTGGATTTATTAACTTAGTTTGACGTGATAATGATTGGGATTTAATAACTGGATAAGTTTTGAACGTTTCTTGGAAAGTGCTGGTTAATTTTTTTTCCATATTCCAGTATTTAAACAAGTACTGTGGAACACATACAACTGCACGGAATAGGAAGATTATTGTAGACTCTAGTTTTATGATTTAAATAGCCATGAACATAAAATCACAGTTTATACAGATACATTTCAAGTTTTCAAGTTACTGTCTAAACTAGTGGCTTAAATCTCAAATACAAGATTGCTAAATTATCATTTTCCTATTCCATAGGTTTATGGATCTGCACTGTAGGACAAATACAGCTTATCTATCTATCTATCTATCTATCTATCTATCTATCTATCTATCTATCTATCTATCTATCTATCTATCTATCTATCTATCTATCTATCTATCTATCTATCTATCTATATATATATCTATCTATTCATCTATCTATACTATCTATATATATATTTCTCTCTTTTCTATCTATCTATCTATCTATCTATCTATCTATCTATCTATCTATCTATCTATCCATCTATCTATCTATCTAACTATCTATCTATCTATCTATCTCTTGATTGTAAGATCGTGTTTGCTCTTTGACCCGATACTACTATGATTAACACAGGTAGTTAATATATATTCATACATCAGCATGTACATTGTACAACCAAAAAATTTTTTTTTGAAAAATATTTATTTTTCTGACGTTAATCTCATTTGTTTTGGATGTTTAAAATAATATTTATTTTATTTTCCCCTTCTTTTTATTTTATTGGTAGTATATAAGTAATTTGAAATATATTTACAATCCTAATAAATGTTTCAATTGAATCTAATATTTTACATTGGGAGGTAGTTGAACTCTTTGTTTAAGTTAAACTACAGTGTGCTTATAAAAAGGTTTTCTAAGTAATTTGAAATTTCAATCAAGGTAAATATTTACTTCATACATACAAACTCAATCTCAAGTTAAAATATTAATATTTGAAGGAAAAGATTGACTTCAATATGTGATTCGGACAAGGAAATAGTTTTCTTTATAGTTTTTCCTGTTTAAAGACTGCAAAAATGGAACTAATAGCTTTAACTGCTTTTTACCTATTAATTTCTTATCTATCAAAATCTATCTATGTATCTCTCCAATCTGTCAATCAATCTATTTACCTAAATCTATCGATATATAAATCTATCTATCTATCTATCTATATCTATCTATCTATCTATCTATCTATCTATCTAGCTCTCCAAATCTACATATCTATCTATCTATCTAAACGTATACACACTTGAGTATATAAACCAGATACACGTAATAAAACATTTTTAATTTACTGCAAGATTCTACATTGCTCCTTATCTTATCTATCTACTTAAACTTTATCTGTTTTGTTTGTTCGCATCTTTGCAAAAAAAAATGTCAAAACGTCTGAACCGACTGGGTCGAATTTATTGTGGGACCTTCCATAGCCCCAGGAGGGAGGAGAGAGGTTTTATGGTAAGTCAAAATTTAACAATGTCCTCTGTAAACAATTTTTTCTCTTTTTTTATCTTTGGAAATTCACGAAAAATAATGTTTTAAGGAATTGAGTCTTTGCCACAAACATTAATGTTCTAATTATTATTTTCTTGCAACTCTATGTCGTAGACCTTGGATACTATGAATTCTGTTAGATCAAATAATCTAAGTTTAAAATATCAAAGGTTTACACTATGAGAATGAAAAGATAATTAGCAAATTTGAGTTTGTTACTCAATTCCTTGTTAAATTGTTTGATAATATAGGAATAATTATTATAGTTTTACATCCATCTATTCTTCCATCTATCTATTCATCTATCTATTCATCCTACTATTCATCTATCTATCTATCTTTATGTCTATCTACCTATATTAAGTAGGGGGAAGATGGAAAGGTTTAGATATGAAAATGAAAAACCTGGGAAAATTTTGTGAAAGTTAGAACCGAGGGAGGAAAAAAGATTGTTTTACCCCGTAATCGTATTTAAGATCAATCTAGAATATTTAAACGAAATATTTTGCTTCGCAACATTTATAAAATCCTGACAGTTGAACTAAATCTGATATTTTGTAAAAATATGTTAAATTAGGTTATTTAATATTTAATACGGCTGCATGGGAAATAATGGGAATATTTTAAACATTTAATCAAAAATTCCAGTAAATATAAAAATAAAAAATTAATGGACAAAATTAGATGTTTCACTTTAAAAAAAGATTTGACTGACTGACTTTAAACTTATAAAGACGTAATTGATGTAATTTTAAGTGGCGTTTATAAAGTGGCATTTATAAAGTGGCTTTTATAAAGTGGCATTATAAAGTGGCATACCTGATTCACATCAGTGTCCCTAGAATATTTTAAAGTCTGATCATGAATAAATAATATATACTTTATAGTTTAAACATTGATAATTTGTAATATGTGGCTTTTCTTTTAGGAGTGACTTGCGGAATTATGCATAAGAGTAACCGAAAGAAATCTTTAGAATTGAACGCTTTTTAAAATGACAAACTACGTTTTCTTCCTCATTGTTATTTAGTAAAAGCTTGTATAATTAAGTTCCGTTGTGAATCAAACATACCATTTGAAAAAAAATAATGGACGGTTTCTGAAAGATATCAAGATCAAGTTTTTCCTTCAGGGAATTCCTAAAAGCCTTTAAGTGTTGAACAGTAGCTACTTAGTCCAGTCGTAAACTAGATCTTCAGATAGATAGATAGATAGATAGATAGATAGATAGATAGATGGATAGATGGATAGATGGTTAAATAAATACATAGACAGGGGTAATTATTTTCATAGAAATATTTACCCCTTCATTAAAATGTGTTTTTAATCCCCCTTAAAAACAATTATTGTTTACTTAAATTCAAAATAATTCTTATCGCCGAATTTGATGAAATTATTTCCCCCTTCTTTTTCATAGATAGATAGATGGAAAATTAGATAGATAGAAAACTAAAGAGTTAGATGAATAGATGTAGTTGTAGATAAGACAATATTTAGACTGTTTTCTGACACTTCGTGAGAATAAACGGAAAATTGAAACAATAATACCTAACGACTACTCTCTATAGTCTAGGGGTATTCAAAACTAGCTAATACTTAGTATTTATTCTGTTTGATGTACGCAATAAAGTGCGTCAATTTATTCTGTTTGATGTACGCAATAAAGTGCGTCAATTTTGAACGTTTTAAAAGTGCAATAAAGGGATACTGTGATTTTATAGAAAAAAATGCGTTTATCTACATGCATCTGCAGTTAAACAAAAATGGAAAAATCTAAAAAACTTTTCTTCAAAATCTGCTCAGATCACAGTGATTAAAAGGATGAAAACTATAACGCAAAAATCGATAAGAATTTTGTCAATTACCACATAAAAACTAAAGTTAAAAACAAGTGCTTTATAGTTCTTCAATGAAATATAAAATATCTACTAAACACAAGGCTACAATAAAGTTTAATTGAGTTAGCGATGTAAATCTGAGTAAAACCCATCAGTTGGAACGCTGAATCCAGATTCAGTCCCTGTTTAACCGATTTAAAAAATCATGGATTGTTTCTGAAATATTAAGTTAGTATTATGTAGGGTTTGCAGCGAAATAGAAAAATCGTTTCGCGAAAATTTCGCATTCTTCACGAAAAAAAAAATGTCGCGAAAATTTTCGCAATAGTTTGCATTTCGTTTGCTTGCGAAAAATGCGAAAATTTCGAAAAAAATAATGCGAAAATTTTGCGAAAAAAGTAATGCGAAAATTTCGCGAAAACCCCAGAAACTATGCAAAAATGCACTAAAATACATGAGTGTACGTATGTATGGACGGACAGAAACTTAAAAAGATAGCTAGAGAAATCAAATTATCTTCATCAAACATTTATCAAAGTAAAGAAAGAGAAATTATTAATAAACAGACAGAATAAAATTTTATTACTGAGCTATCAGAGCAGGGAATTCCACAATTTTTTTGCGCATTTAATTGCTGCAGATATAACACTTATGGTTTTCGAGGATTTTTTTCCGGAAAATATTTTACGAAATTTTCGAATTTTCGCGAGAAAAAAATAATATATATCGCATCGCATCGTTTGCGCTTTTTTTGCTTCATTTATTTTCGCGAAAAATTGGGAAATTTTGAGAAAAAGTTTGTGAGAAAGTTTGCAAAATGCGAACGAAAATTTCCGCATTTTTATGAGTTTTTTTCGCGAAACGTTTCGTTTGCTGCAAACCCTAGTATTGTGTCAGCTGCACTTTTTCCCTTTTTAGCATTGTATCATATTTAGTTGGACGTCCATCAGCCATCAGGAGGCGATGCCCCGTATCCGTTCTATCTCATTCTGTTGAATCTTGTGGAACTAGTTTAACGCGGCCAGGCATCGTCTTCCACAGTATACTAGTTTTGGATATATCTCGTCAACTCGTAGATCTCTCTATATTTGACTTTATATAATGTGCTCTACCTTCTTTGAATCTTGACTATGCACTGGCTTTTAGTTATTTCAATTATTTTTAATAAATTTAAATATTTGCATTATTCAGGGTGAATTATTCTTTATAATAGTTTATTTCTCGAATAAATAATTCTCGGATTTAGACTATTTTAAATTCGTCAATTAATACCCATGTTTGTTTGGACACCCTGTATGTTAGTGAGGGGGGGTGTATGTGTGTGTATTTGAATGAATGGTGTAAAGTACCCCATGTAAATATATATTTCCGGTTCAAATAAACAATTTTACGAAACAAACTTTAGGGTAAATATTCTTCAGAATATAACTTTGTGTCATCTCCATCAATTTAGACAGATGTAACTTTTAAAATATCAGAATCAAATAAAATTAAAAGAAAGGATCATAATTTCCCCTTTATTTGGCAAACTTACATTTAGATCGATTGCGTTTAAAATTACATTTAACAACAGATTCGTAAGCTTAAGTGCACTGTACATCGGACATTGCTGACAATACTCATTTTCTAATATTAGATTTTGCAATCAAAAGAAGGAGAAGGAGGAGAAGGAGAAGAACGAGGAAAACGAGGAGAAGGAGAAGGAGGAGGAGATAGAGAAGGAGGAAAAAGAGGAGAACAAGGAGAACGAGGAGAAGCAGGAGAAGCAGGAGAAGTAGGAGAAGCAGGAAAAGCAGGAGAAGGAGGAGAAGGAGGAGAAGGAGGAGAACAAGGAGAATAAGGAGAACAAGGAGAACAAGGAGAGCGAGAATAACGAGGAGAACGAGGAGAACGAGGAGAACAAGGAGAAGAAGGAGAACGAGGAGAACGAGAAGAATGAGGAGAAAAAGGAGAAGAAGGATAACCAGGAGAAGGAGGAGAAGGAGGAGAAGAAGGAGAAAGAGAAAGAACGAGGAGAGGGAGATGATAAAGAAGGAAGATAAGGAGAAGAAGGAGGAGGAGAAGCTGGAGAAGCTGGAGAAGGAGAAGAAGTATAAGGATTGGAATTGAGGGGAAGATGGCTGGGGTGTTAAAGAGAGGGGTTCACTAAGGGGAAAAAGGTAATGAAGAAGGTATTGAAGAAGGTATTGAAGAAGGCATTGAAGAAGGTATTGAAGAAGGTAATGAAGAAGGTATTGAACAAGGTATTGAACAAGGTATTGAAGAAGGTATTGAACAAGGTATTGAGCAAGGTATTGAACAAGGTATTGAACAAGGTATTGAAAAAGGTATTGAACAAGGTATTGAACAAGGTAATGAACAAGGTATTGAACAAGGTATTGAAAAAGGTATTGAAGAAGGTATTGAAGAAGGTATTGAAGAAGGTATTGAAGAAGGTATTGAAGAAGGTATTGAAGAAGGTATTGAAAAAGGTATTGAAGAAGGTATTGAAGAAGGTATTGAAGAAAGTATTGAAAAAGGTATTGAAGAAGGTATTGAAGTAGGTAAAGAAGAAGGTAAAGAAGAAGGTATTGAAGAAGGTATTGAAGAAGGTATTGAAAAAGGTATTGAAGAAGGTATTGAAGAAGGTATTGAAGAAGGTATTGAAGAAGGTATTGAAGAAGGCATTGAAGAAGGTATTATAGAAGGTATTATAGAAGGTATTCAAGAAGGTATTCAAGAAGGTATTCAAGAAGGTATTCAAGAAGGTATTGAAGAAGGTATTGAAGAAGGTATTGAAGATGGTATTGAAGAAGGTACTGAAGAAGGTATTGAAGAAGGTATTGAAGAAGGTATTGAAGAAGGTATTCAATAAGGTGATGAAGAAGGTATTGAATAAGGTATTGAACAAGGTATTGAACAAGGTATTGAACAAGGTATTGAACAAGGTATTGAAGAAGGTAATGAAGAAGGTATTAAAGAAGGTATTGAAGAAGGTACTGAAGAAGGTAATGAAGAAGGTATTGAAGAAGGCATTGAAGAAGGTATTGACGAAGGTAATGATGAAGGTATTGAAGAAGGTACTGAAGAAGGTATTGAAGAAGGTATTGGAGAAGGTATTGAACAAGGTATTGAACAAGGTATTGAAGAAGGTATTGAAGAAAGTATTGAAGAAGGTATTGAAGAAGGTATTGAAGAAGGTAATTAAGAAGGTATTGAAGAAGGTATTGAAGAAGGTATTGAAGAAAGAATGGAAGTTTCTTGAATGAACCCATTTTACCATTATTTACATTTTCATTCATTCTTTCTCACTCCCAGGTATTTTTTACATTATCCCCCCCACTCTCTCCTTTAGCATCCCAAATATATTTTTCCCATTTACTTTCTAGAACGCAGGTTTACTAACTTGTTAGTTATTTACCCTTTTAAGGAATTGAGTCTTTGCCACAAACTCTGATTTTCTAATCCCTGTATCTTTGCGATGTCGTAGAAATTTGATATTTTAAACTATGAATTCTGTTCGAATCGAAATAACAAAGGTTTATACATCGGGTTAAAACTTAATCCTTTACAAACATCACTGATTTTAAATCTCATCTTTTTTTCGTTTACCTAACATATTATTATAAAGATTTATTCACACACATACATATACAAAACTGCGTTTTACATTCTATATCAATGGTAATAAAGTAAGATTAATTTTTGCCACAAAAAAAAGCGGAAAAGAGGGATGGGGGCCAGGGAGGGAATACGAAGGTATAGTAAGGGGGTTTGTGAGGGCAGGTACAGTTTAAAAAGAAGAGAGGGTTTCAATAGAGAAGTAAATATTGGTCTAGGTTTAAACCTGAAAATAAACACGTCAGCGCCATCTTTGTTCAACATTATATACAACCTTGCACTTTACTACTATACACCCATTCATTCACTCATTCATTCATCCTTTCATCCTTTCTTCACTTCATCCATTCATCCTTCCTTTCCGCTTTTATTCATCCTCTCCTCTTTTATTCATCAAGTCATTCACCACCGTTCATTATTTATTCTTCATTCGTACTTTCTTATTCATCTTCTATCCTTTCTTTCTTTCATTTATTCATTCTTTCTGAATTCATTTTTCTTTTTTTGATTTATTAATCTTAATTCTGAACCTTCCCTTATTCATTCTTTAATTCAACCGTTCTTTATTAATCATTCTTCATTTTTATTGTGTTCAATCATTTATTCGCGCCATACTTTTTTCAGCTGTCTGCCTGCTTGATTCATGCATTCATCCGTTACTCATTTTTTATCAATTCATTCATGCACAGTTCTTTATTCATCCTTCATTTTTGCATTCTTTCATTCAAACTTTCTATATTAGTTTTTACTTTTAAAGTATTTTATTTTTTTTCTATCCCCCCGTGTTCCAATATATCCTAATAATTCCGTTCACTGTTTCGCACTTAATATATCTCTTTTCTCTGAGCTGAAAACTTTAGAATGAGATATCCTTAATCCCGATTACTTAATCTGAGTATCCAATAGTAGAGAAAAATCAAAAACCGGTTCTTCTAAATTAGAGAGTCCCTCCCATTTCTTAAATGCCGCACAAAATTTCAAATTCATCGTCTTCATATACGCGACTGTGATTGGTTGCATTTTATACACTTTTCAGGATACAAGTACAAGATTAGATTAGTCTAGATATTAAGAAAATGAGAGGATCACGCATTAATCTCGATATCCACCATTCTAAAGTTTTCAGCTCTGATTCGACAATTGAATTTAAAAAGTACAATCTCATTGGTTCTGAATAGACGTCAACTACCTCACTTCTAGCTAATGTTACTCATTTAATTACTTATTAACCAAAAATAAGCATTAAAAAGGTAAGATATTTACAATACTTCATGTCTTAATATTTAAAATTGTTTTCATAAAATTTGAAAACAATGCAGAGGATATAATTTTGTTGCTAACTGCTAACTATTTTTTCTGAACTTTAAAAAGCCATTCAGAAACCATTTTGGTTTTCAAGCTTATAAAACACGCAGAAAATACTTAAAATTATTGGTGAAAAAAAAACTTTTCTTTAATCCTGAGATATTGGTTTTTATAAAATATACATTTCTAATATTGAAGATTGCTCAATAGATAAAGTCTAAAAATAGACAATTATACAAAAGATAAAACCGATAAAAGGATTCTATAAAACCTAAGATTTAGAGAAAATATAAAAGGATTACAAAAGGGTGCAGAAAAGAGAAGTATAGTTAATATATTGGAAAAACCTTGGGAAAATAGAAATAGTAACAAAAGATTAGGGGTGGTATGTGTGTGTGGGGGGGGAGGAGAATTTTACAAAGTTCGAAATTATTGTTAAAATAAGATTTTATTTAATAGTTTGTCATATACACAGTGGTCCCCAAAACATCATTAATTTCGACGACGAAATGAAGAAGCAAACTGTGCCTAAATTTTCACCATTAGATCGATATGTTTAAGCTGATGGTTAAAATATCCACATTAAAAAGACGAATTACGTTGAAAACATAGAAAGATGATAATTCTAATGTCCTAAAACGAAAATCAGTTAAGGAGTGCAGAGGCTGCATTAAATATAACTGTTTTTATTTACAGCTAATTTAATATATTTTGTTGAAAATACAAAACGTCGACTGCTTCAAAATTTCGACTGCTACGAAACGTCGAATTAAAAAAAAACGGCGATGATGCAAAACGTCGATTACTATAATAAATTGAAGAAAGCTAAGAGCCTAATATTAAGTTTTTTCATTATGTATCAACATTTTTATTTTACTTTTCACACCACGATAAATGTAAACAAAATGAGGCTTCAGGTCCAATTTAGACAGAGGAAAAGGTTAAGTTCTAGTGTCGACTTTGTGACAAAGTATGTCAAAGTACAAGGAAAAAAATACTAAATTATTTGGTTGCATATTAGAAAATTTGAAAATGTTTGTTTCTTTAAAAAAGAGAAGTTTTAAGGTTTGAATCCAGGTTGGATCTGACTTGAATTTAGCGTGATGTAGTTAGCGCACAATGGATCCAGATTGCTATGAAAAGTTGCAACTGTTTATCAATGATTGGACTGACTTTAAAGTGTCGTCTTGGCCTTTTTACCTCAGTTTTACTTTTATCTTGCCCTTTTAGACATGTACATTGTACATTGTACAATACATTTTAATAAAACTATAAAGCACTTGTGTACAGATTTAGTAATTAGGAAGTAATTGAACATTTCGTTTTGGCAGTTTACTTTAGTTTAACGTGGTGCATGTCAAACATTACCATTTACCAACTACCAAATACTTGTCATTGAAAAGTAGGATTAATTTCCCCCCCCCCCCCCCCCCCGTCCTTCAGCAAGTTGTGAGTTTTGATTAAAATTTGACCTTATAAACATACATTTTTACATTTTACTCGTGTTTACTTTATATCGATGGATGCACTTAAATGAAAAACAATATATTTTAAGATTGAATTAAAGGGAGTGTTCGCAAAAAAAGAAAGGGGGTATAGGCTTAATGCGATAAAAAAGCGCTTTTGATCGCTTCTAATCTTACTTCTATCTGTTGCGTCTATAAGAAGAAAATTGTTAAAAACGTCTCATACCGAATAACTTAGCGCCCATACAAATTCAGAAAATTGCAACATACTACTTAGACCGTAAAAAAATCAATTTAATTTCAAACAAATCATTCAGATATTACAACCTAAAGTCATCGATTATATTTCGCCACATTTGTATACAGTTAATATTTTATAATATTTTTTAATTGATTTGTTTTGAATTTGATTATTTCTCTTGTCGCTTGCGCAACTATCTAATAATGCCGCGCACCACTCACATTTTTCGAAATCCGTTAAAACGTTTTCTAAAAAAATAAAATATTACAAAATATAAACTATAAACAAATGTGGCGAAAGATAATCGATGACTATAGGTTGTAATATCTGAATGATTTGTTTGAAATTAAATTGATATTTTACGGTCTAAGTCCTATGTTGCAATTTTCTGAATTTGTATGGCGCTAAGTTATTCGGTATGAGACGTCTTTAACAATTTTCTCCTTATAGACGCAACAGATAGAAGTAAAATTAGTGGCGATCAAAAGCGCTTTTTATCGCATTAATCCTATACCCCCTTTCATTTTTTCGCGAACACTCCCTTTAAAGCGATTGAATTCCAATTGTCTGGGTCGGAGGTAGACTGTATGTACCCGTAACATAAATATGGTAAAGTGTAAGTACTTGAGTTTCTTGTCAATCTTCACCTAATCCCCTCCTCTACAGACATTCTTTATTTAACACACTCAAGCATTTTCTCAGGGAAAAGAATTTTGTAAAAAACTAGAATTGAGATACTGCAGACTTAACACCTTGAATAGACTAGCTCTAGACACACTATAACAGAGGGACAGAACTGTTAAGCCTTGATAGAGTAGTTGCGCTCTGAAAACTACAAGAGGGAGACAGAACTGTTAAACCTTGATAAAGTAGTTGCGCTCTGAAAGCTACACGAGGGGCACAGAACTGTTAAACCTTGATAGAGTAGTTGCGCTCTAAAAACTACAAGAGGGGGACAGAACTGTTGAACCTTGATAGAGTAGTTGCACTCTGAAAACTACAAGAGGGGGGCAGTACTGTTGAACCTTGATAGAGTAATTGCGCTCTGAAAACTACAAGAGGGGGACAGAACTGTTAAACCTTGATAGAGTAGTTGCGCTCTGAAAGCTACAAGAGGGGGGCAGAGCTTTTAAACCTTGATAGAGTAATTCCGCTCTGAAAACTACAAGAGGGGGACAGAACTGTTAAACCTTGATAAAGTAGTTGAACTCTGAAAGCTACAAGAGGGGGACAGAACTGTTAAACCTTGATAAAGTAGTTGAACTCTGAAAGCTACAAGAGGGGGACAGAACTGTTAAACCTTGATAGAGTAGTTGCGCTCTGAAAACTACAAGAGGGGGACAGAACTGAGACAGAAAGAGATATCATATATTCAACATCACTGGTAGGACTTTGTGACATCGTTGCTTCTCTAGTTTTCATTTTACGCATATGTATAAGAAATGCAATTTAATCTGGTCACCTAGAAATTCAAAACATTCTTTTTTTAAGAGATGCTCATGTTATGATTGAAAACATAAAATATTTTAATCTTTTACATGCAATTTGCTGTAGTTTTACGTGAGGGAGAAGTAACTTGAGGTTAAAAAAAAACTTTTAAAAAACTGGTTACCTTATATATCTCCTAGTTACCTTATTTACCTACTGGTTATCTGATTTACCTTCCAGATACTTTATTTACCTCCTAGATACTATATTCAACTATTGGTTACTTTTTAACCTCCTAGTTACTTTATTTACCTCATATTTACTTTATTTACCACTTATTTACTTTATTTACATCCTAGTTACTTTATTTACCACCTGTTTACTTTATTTACCTTCCATTTACTTTATTTACCACCTATTTACTTTATTTAACTCCTGTTTACAATTAGTTAACTCCTGTTTACTTTATTTACCTTCTAGATACTTTATGTTGTTACCTTTTGTTACTTCAGTAACCTCTAGTTTAGAGTAACATTTTATAGTTTGACGGGAACTAATTTAGCAGAATGTGATTAAATCTTCTATATTAAATAATTTAGCAAAATATGCTTAAATCTTCTATATTAAAGATTCATTCTCAGATATAATTTTGTTTAAAAATATCAATCATTAAATTTTACAACTTTTCTAAAATATTATTGAAAAGTTTTGAAAAATTATGGAAAATCTTGAGGCTTCTGACAAAAATGTGTATATGGAAAAGACAGACAAATTATACTATAAACTGTACGTTCTGGGAAAGGTTTAGATTTTAGTTTAAGTTTAGGAAGTTTGAGGAAGTAGCTGATGGAATAATTTGTATTCTGTAAATCCTCCCCCCAGTCCCCCCTGTGCCCCCTCACCTAAAAAGCATAATATGAAAAAAACGTTTCTCTTTTAAAAATCAATTTTTCAAAATTTTGAGTTTCAACAAGAGCGGTCTGTTATTAGGGAAACAATGATAGATAAACTAAAAACGACGATTCCTTTCACATTGGTGATCAGGGAAATGTTTAAAGAATATGGCGGGGACGGCATGCCGATAAGTCGTTCATTTGATATTCCATCAAAACAAGTGTAATGAACCTTAGTAGTTATTTTTGATTTTGTTAATCTATATCTATATAATATATAATCTCTATATATATATTATATTATGAATATCTTGTATATATCTTATATATCGTGTATCAGTATATTAAGTTACTGATAAGCTAATGGGGGTCTTGAGGTCCTTCCTTTGACCAAGACGTATACGGATGCATTAGATACTGCAGCAGCCAGATAGACAGATAGATAATAATATACAACAGAAGGATAATATTAAGATACATAGATTAGAAATATATTCTCTACATCTACTGTATCGAGAACTATGAAGTCCTGAGCTAATTCTACTTAGATTAGATAGATAAATAGATAGATAGACAGACAGATAGATAGATAGATAGATAGATAAATAGATAGATAGATAGATAGATAGATAGATAG